GGGGGGGCGGGAGGGAAGGCAGGGGAAGAAAAAGAGAGACATGGAGAACAAATTATCTAGCAACAAGAAGGTGGTGGAGGTATCTGAATTGAAGCCAAGTGGTGCAGCAGCCCAGTTTCAGTCTGATTTCTAATGGTGAAAGGGAATTTTCAAGGGGACCAAAATGTTTTTCTTTTCCTCTTTGGATATGGCACTCTCTCTTTTTTTCCTTTGAGGGCAGTAAAGTTTAACTAAAAGTTTTTTTGGTTTTTTTTAAACTGTATAATGGTCTGCTCTTCTAATACCTCCATTTTTATATTCTAGGAAAATAAACACAAAAAATCAATTTCTTTGGATGACAGTGACCTTGAAGCTCGTCTCAATAGTTGGAATCTTGGGGTAAAAAAAAACAAATGTATTTATTTGTTTGTTGGTTTCAAATGTAAGGTGTTTGGTAATTTAATCTCAGTCTATGAAATAGTTGACAGTAACTTGGCCATTCCTCCTAAAAATGGAAATATGTTGGAAGCAATCAAGACACTTTGAAAGATAAATTATGCAAAGTGTCATTTCAAGAAGAAACTGTTTAAAAGCACCTCTCTATATTACACTTTTTAAAGGGTTGGTGGCGTAGTCTCAGCTCCTCTACCTTGATGTAAATCCAGTGATTTGTGTAAATACCTTGTGGAGCAGTCTGTAATATTGAGGCCTATATTCTTGTGCAGTTGTGGCTTCCTAATGTATTTTTATATCCTGTACTTACTTTTGTTACAATAGTGAATGATGACAGAATTGACTTTAGGCTGACAGATAAATCATCTTTCATCTCATACATGAAATCTGTCAAAGATAATTCCTCATTCTGAAAACTAGATTAGAGGCAGTTCTGACTCCACCAACTTCCACAGTCTCAGAATATGTATTGATTGGATGTTGGCAGTAATGGAAGATATGGCTCCCTCCGCATCATTTCCTCTTTTACCATTAGGAGGACTTGAGTTGGGTTTAAAATCTTTAGATAGGACACTGATGTTTTTAAAAATTTCTAGCCAGTATATTTTCAGTTTGTCATCTCTCCTTAGGACATAGACATATTTTTAAAATAATTTTTAAATGACCTGTATGTTTTTGCAATAAGACTACTATATGAGGCAAATACAGTTAGACAACCAATATATTTTTTATAAATAGGATGAAAGGAAATTCTTGATAAAATCAATATGATATTAACAATATTATGTATTTTTCATACATTTGTGTATGTATTCAGAGTTAGCATGTCAGGTTTCATCTTTTTCTGTTGATCTTGAGGAATTAATTCAAGTTTTTGAGACTCGAACAAGTTGAGATTTCCCTTTGATTTTAGACAGCTACCGTAATGAGATTTTTTTCCTCTCCATTCTTTGAGTTACACTCCTCAGTATCGCATCATCCATCACTATTTGTAATCCATCACTATTTGTGCCTCCTCATTACATCAAACTACTTCCATTATATTTTGTCTAACTCTTCTCCAATCTGATTAGGGTTATAGCTCTAGTCGAGTGGACCTGGAATCATTCAGTTTTCATCCACTTGAATAGGATTGGGTCATTGTTCTGGTAGGCGACACTTCCACAGTTTTTGGTGTAAACCCATGGCTTCACCAGAAGTCAATTGTCCTGAAATTTCCTATATTGTATCTCATTGGTCTACACTAGAATTGGCAGCTTGGCTTAAGGTATGCAATTCAAGCTATGTAGAATACATAGCTGGAGTTGGCTTACTTTAAGGTGGGCTTGGCAGCATCCCCACAGTGGGAGGCCAATGGGAGCAAACATTCCTGTCTGCTTCCCTTACTCCTCACAAAAGGAGGAGTACTGGACGTTGGTGGGGACAACCTCTGAATTCAATTTGGCAAGTCTTAATTGGACTTGCTAAATCAAACTCCAGAAGATCAATCATGGCAGTGGCAATCTTCCTTTTAGTGTAGACAAAGCCTAGAATTTTCTAGAGAGTTTGGAAGAAATTGGGAAAAGAATGTTAGTTACAATGTATGAAGAATTTTTTTGCCATTATGTATTCAAAAAGTTTTCTAATAATTTTATTCCTTTTCAGAATTGCTGAGGGTGGCATTTGCAGTTCTATTTTTTTTTTTTTGAGTTTTGGATTATTTCAGGAACAACAAAAGTATAACAGTTGTTTGGGTTTGTACCTTGTAACATGTAAAATAACAAAAGTTGCTAAAATAAAATGAACCTTCTGCTAACTCCAGACTTTTCTACAGCAGCTGTTAGGGGTAAGCAAAAGGTGTGGGAATAAATGGGTAAAGGATGGCTGAGGCAGTGGAAGATTGTTGGATGTGTGGAAATGGAATGAAGAGCACAGAGGACTACAAATAGAAAAAAGTCATGCAATGGAAACATGGGAAAGAGAGCACTGAACAGCAAGTGACTGGCAGAGGCCCAGGCAATATACTTCCTATTAAGAGATTAATTTCCAATATTACTACATCAGATAAAACTACATCAGATAAAACAAATTATGGCCAAAATGTTCCAAAGTGACTAATGATCTTTGGTGTCTGTTCTTGGCTGCCCAACTTGACACATCTTAAAGAGGCCTGATTTGCATGAAGTACCAAGCATCACTCTCTGAAAATCAGGCCCCTGTGAAGTATCTCCTACTGGGAACTGAAAGATTAAGATGTCTAATTTGTCCAAATGTCTAATTCGATTCGACAATGTTGGCCTGCACAAATATATGTAAGTCTGCTGCACAATACAACCAACACACATCATATCAATAAACAGATCAATTCTTCATAAAAATCATAGAATCAGAGTTGGAAGAGACCTCAGGAGGTCATCAAGTTCAGCCACCTGCCCAAGGCAGGACCAATCCCAACTAAATCAACCCATCCAGGGCTTTGTCAAGCTGAGACTTAAAAACCTCTAGGGATGGAGATTCCACCACTTCCCTAGGTAACCCATTTCAGTACTTAACCACTCTCCTAGAGAAATAGTTTTTCCTAATGTCCAACCTAGACCTCCCCCACTGTAAGTTGAGACCATTGTTCCTTGTTCTGCCATCTATGTTTACGGTGAACAGCCTGTGAAATCGAATGTTTTAGTTAAATCGAGTATTTGGAACTGATCAAAAATAGAGTTGTTACCAGTTTTTCATAGAATCCTAGAACACTAGAACTGGAAGGGAGTTTGGGTGTCATTGAGTCCAGTCCCCTGCCCTCACGGCAGGACCAAGCACTGTCTAGACCATCCCTGACAGGTGTCTGTCCAAGCTGCTCTTCAGTATCTCCAGGGATGGGGATTCCGCAACCCCTCTCGGCAATTTATTCCAGTGTTTAACCATCCTGACAGGAAGTTTTTCCTAATGTCCAACCTAAACTTCCCTTCCAGAAGTTTAAGCCCACTGCTTCTTATTCTATCCTCAGAGAACAAGTAGAAAAAATTTTCTCCCTCCTCCTTGTGACACATTTTTAGATATCTGAAAACTGGTATCATGGCCCCTCTCAATCTTGTCTTTTCCAAACTAAACAAGCCCAATTCTTTCAGTCTTCCTTCATAGGTCATGTTCTCTAGACCTTTAATCATTCTTGTGGCTCTTCTCTGGACCTCCAATTTCTCCACATCTTTCTTGAAATGTGGCGCCCAGAACTGGACACAGTACTCCAAGTGAGGCCTAATCAGCTCAGAGTAGAGCGGAAGAATGACTTTTTGAGTTTTGCTCACAACACACCTGTTAATGCATCCTAGAATCATGTTTGCTTTTTTTGCAACAGCGTCACACTGTTGACTCATATTTAGCTTGTGGTCCGCTATAATGCTTAGATCTCTTTCTGCGATACTCCTTCCTAGACAGTTGCTTCCCATTCTGTATGTGAGAAATGGATTGTTCCTTCCTAAGTGGAGCACTTTGCATTTGTCCTTATTAAACTTCATCCTATTTACCTCAGACCATTTCTCCAATTTGTCCAGATCATTTTGAATTATGACCCTATCCTCCAAAGCAGTTGCAACCCCTCCCAGGTTTGGTATCTGCAAACTTGATAAGTGTACTCTCTATGCCGATATCCAGGGTTTGACAAATTATGCAAAACCCTACTTGCCAGACAAAAAAGGAACTCGCTACCCCTACTGCATGACCCCCCACTGCGCAGGCGCGCGCCACTGGAGAACAGGACGACTGGGATGGCATGTTTCCTTGTATGACAGGGCAGGGTCATCCCGTGGCGGCGAGGGTGACCTGCCCCGCACTCCAACGGTGCCGACCCCTGTACTGCACGGGGGAGTGTGGCGTTCTGAAAGCGGCCTGTGCCGCTTCCTCCTGTGCGGCTGCCCAGCCGAGCGGCATGCAGGGGGGCCAAGTCCTGGGACGGGAGCCGGAAGTGGAGGCACCGCGACCATCCAGATTGAGAGAAGGAGGAAAAGGGGCATCCTTCCTTGGCTGCTGGCCAACCTCTAGTCTCCCCTGGGATGAGCTACACTTGGTTGTCCCCAAAGCATCTCAGTTGTCAGATGTCTGCTCTCAGGGTGGGGGGCGGAGGTGGGGGGGGCCTGGGCCCACCCTCTCTCATAGGCTGCAGCCCAGGGCCCTAAGGACAGACTCTGTGTGGACTCTGTCTGACTGGTGGTGTGTTCGCTGTAACTCACCAGTCTGCTGGCACTCCTAAGCAGCCCAGCGTGGGGCTCCTTCCTACCTCCACTCCTCCTTTCACATCCTCTACCCCCGCTCTCTGCTCCACTCCCTGTCTCCCTCCTGCCTTCTCTGACCTCCTCTGTCCTCCTCCTCTCTCCTCTGCTCTCACCCTTCACTCCTCTACCCTTCGCTGTCTTCTAGCTCACTCCTCTGTTCTCCTCTCTCCCTCCGTTACTCTCCTCCATCTCCTCTGCCTCCCTCCTCTCTTCCGCTCTCCTCTACTCCCCTTTTCAATGCGGCGCTCTCTTGTGCCGGCGCCTCTTCCCCCTGACGTCAGGGACGCATGCACGCTCTGGCCCTGCCCGACACCTGCGTGCAGCCCCGCCCCCACTTCCAGATCCCGTCCCAGGACTCTGCCCTCCTGCACACTACTCAGCTGGGCAGCTGCATGGGAGCAAGCGGCGCAGACCACGGTCAGAATGCTGTGCTCCATGTGCAGCACGGAGGTCGGCATTATTGGAGTGCGTGGCGGGTTGCCCTTGCTGCTATGGGGTGACCCCGTCCCGTCACAGCTCGCCAGTTGGTAATACGTACTCCTTGCGGGCGAGCATATTTGTTGAGCCCTGCCAATATCTAAATCGTTGATGAAGATATTGAACAGAACCGGTCCCAAAGCTGACCCCTGTGGAACCCCACTTGTTCTATCTTTCCAGTAGGATTGTGAACTGTGAACTATTACTCCTCTGAGACTGATTATCCAG